ACAGTCCTAGACAGGCATGGGTGATTGGTGTAGGCACAGGCATCTGGCTGCAGCAGGGGCAAGGCAGGGGGTTGACGGCCACCCCCGAGTGTCCAGGAGGAAAGTGTGTCCCTGTTCCCTAGAGCACATAGGTGGGTGGGTTTTGCAGCTGGACTATGAGCACCCAATGCTGTTGGCTGTAAGGACTGGGGGGCACCTCTTCTTCATGGGCCCCTATAGCAGGTGGCTAGGTGGGATGGGTGGAACCACCAGTCCTCAGGCCTCTCATGTGGGTAGGTGAAGACCCTGCTTAATGGGCAAAGCAGTGTCAAATGTCACGAACCTGCCACTTCACAGCTGTAACAGTTGAAGTTAGACTTCTGGTATATACCCTGTTGTACTGCGGTAATGAGGGCTGATGCTACTGAAATGGGCCCATACAAGTCTATGAAGGGGGAAAGGCACTCAAAGTCTGTGAATCCCTTATGCCTGTGCCTAGGCTAAGGAGCTGTGGCTACCCTGGGTTCCTGGCTTAGGGGAGCCGGCAGTTTATTTCTTCCCCCATTTGTTAATTTGTTCACTCTCCAAGGCAGGGAGAATGGCTCCAGGCATGTGAAGGATCCTACTTCTGGCCCAGGGGAACTAGGCAATTGCTGAAGCTGGTCTGGGACCCAGTGCAGAGCAGGGAGTGGGGAGGTAAATGGGAGGGAGATTTTTCCCTAATGGGGGTGTTTTTGATCCACATGGTAGGCCATACTCAAGTACTTATCCTCTGCCAATCCAGGGCTGCTTCTCAGTGGTTCTGGGTGGCCGTGTAGGCTCTCTGGTGCTGGGTCTCTCCTCATGCAGAAAACGTGCCTCCTGAGCACCGCTGCTTGCCTGCCTCACTGCTCACCCCCAAGCTGATCAGGCCTGAAGGGCTCAGGCTCTCACCGGGTCAGGTCTGGCAACTCCTCGCTGTTTCTGAACCGTCTCTCCCTCCCCCTGCCACTCAGTCTGGTTCCTCAACTTTACCTTTTATGTTCAGGGCTCCCAGATTGCCATATATAATCAATTCACTTGTTTTTTTGGGTCTTTGTTGTAATAGGGTCCACCGGAAGGGTCTGACTACTCCTCCATCTTGGCCCTGCCTCCCATTCCGTCTTTTTTTGATGCTTCATGGGTTGGTCAATATTTTGTCCATAGAATCCTTCAGTATTGCAACTTGAGACTTGAATTCTTTTCTTCAGTTCTCTCAGCTTGAAAAATTCCAAGTGTGTTCTTCCCTTTTGGTTTTCTAACTCTGGGTCTTTGCACATTTCATTACAATACTTTACATTGTCTTCCTGAGCCACCCTTTGAAATCTTTTGTTCAGTACTTTTACTTCATCATTTCTTCTGTTCGCTTTATCTACTCTACATTCAAGAGCAAGTTTCAGAGTCTCTTCTGACATCCATTTGGACTTTTCTTTCTTTCCTGTCTTTTTAATGACCATTTGCTTCGTCACATATGATGTCCTTGATGTCATCCCACAGCTTGTCTGGTCTTTGGTCATTAGTGCTCAATGAGTCAAATCTATTTTTGAGATGGTCTCTAAATTCAAGTGGGATACGCTCAAGGTCATACTTTGGCTCTTGTGGACTTGTTTTAATTTTCTTCAGCTTCAACTTGAACTTGCATGCAAGCTATTGATTGTCTGTTCCTTAGGTGACCCCTGACCTTTATCTGACTGATGATATGGAGCTTCTCCGTCGTCTCTTTCCACATGCGTAGTCGATTTTATTGCTGTGTTTTCCATCCGATGAGGTCCATATGTATAGCCACCACGTGTATAGTTGTTGAGAAAAGTTATTTCCAATGAACAAGTCGTTGGTCTTGCAAGATTCTGTCATTCGATTTCTGGTGTGGTTTCTATCACCTAGGCCATATTTTCCAGCTACCGCTCCTTCTTTTTTTCCAACCTTTGAATTCCAATCGCCAGTAATTATCAACGCATCTTGATTGCATGCTTGATCAATTTCAGGTGGCAGAAGTTGGTAAAAACTTCACTTTCTTCATCTTTGGCATTAGTGGTTGGTGCATAAATTTGAATAATAGTTGTATTAACTGGTCTTCCTTATATGTAGGCATATGGATATTATCCTATCACTGACAGCGTTGTACTTTAGGATAGATCTTGAAATGCTCTTTTTGACAATGAATGTGACACCATTCCTTTTTAATTTGTCATTTCTGGCATAGTAGACCATAAGATTGTCCAGTTCAAAATGACCAATACCAGTCCATTTCAACTCACTAATACCTAGGATATTGATCTTCAAGAATTCCATTTCATCTTTGACAACTTCCAATTTTCCTTGATTCATACTTCGTGCATTCCACATTCTGATTATTAATGGGTGGTTGCAGCTGTTTCTTCTGATTTTGAGTCATGCCACATCCCATCATACTGCGGTGACTTTCATGTTGCTCTGATGATAGAAGCTATGTCACCATTATTTCACATACCAGCAGGGTCACCCATGGTGGACGTGTTTCAGCAGAGCTTCCAGACTAAGACAGACTAGCAAGAAGGACCTGGCAATCTACTTCCAAAAAAAACCTGGCCAGTGGAAATCTTACAGATAGCAGCAGAACACTGCCTGATATAGTGCTGGAAGATGAGACCCTCAGGTTGAAAGGCACTCAAAATACGACTGGAAAAGAGCTGCCTCTTCAAAGTAGAGTCGACCTTAAAGTTAGTTATAGTGATTTGAATTCACTCAGCCTGGGACCTTCCATAGTTGGAGCTCTTCCTGTTGAGCAATAATGCCTCTGCCCCAGGCAGGGGAGGACCAGCTGTGACAGCACTAGGGGGTCAGGATCAAGGCAAGGAGGAAGCAGTGTTAGAAAGTATTAGGGATGGGATGAGGATACAACTTCCCCTTTTCCCAGCTAATAGTGGGGGGAGGGGGGAGGGCAAACTTGTTGCCGTTGTGTCAATTCTGACTCATAGCGACCCTATAGGACAGAGTAGAACTGCCCCATAGGGTTTCCAAGGAGCGCCTGGTAGATTTGAACTGCCAACTTTTTGGTTAGCAGCGGTAGCTCTTAACCACTACGCCACCAGGGTTTAGTGGGGAGTAGCCCATTATTGACTTGGAGAGAAAACTCTGGGCCTGGGCTTCAAACTCTGGAAGTGTGCACTGGACTAGGTAGTGCAAGATGTAATCGACTGCTAACCTAAATGTTGGCAGTTTGAACCCATCCAGCAGCGCCGAAGAAATGTCTGGTAATCGCTTCCATAAAGGTTCCCGTTGCCATCGAGTCAATTCATAGCAACCCTGTAAGGACAAAGTAGAACTGCCCCGTAGGGTTTCCAAGGCTATAAATCCTTATGGAAGCAGACTGGCACATCTTTCTCCTGCGAAGTGGCTGGTGGGTTCCAACTGCCAACCTTTCCGTTAGCAGCTGAGCGCTTTAACCACTGCATCACCCATAGGAGACCCCTATGGAGCACAGTTCTACTCTGAAACACATAGGGTCGCCTTGAACTGTAATTGACTCACAGGTAACGGGTTTGATTTTGGTTTTGGTGTTTTTGAGAACCTAGACTACCCCTTCCCTCCACCACACCCCCAGCCCAGAGCCTGGCGCTTTGTGTGCCTGCGATAGATGTTTGGGCGGTGATTATTAGTTACGGTGGTTATATCCCTGCTCCGGGCTACGGGGCTAAGGTCGCTTTCAGCCCTCTTGTGAAGTGGTACTCTGTTTTGGGGAAGTAGCCCCCAGTGATGGTCACTACGCAGGCCCCCGGAGGCGTAGCAGGGGTCAAGAGCGCCCAGGGGCAACCTCCAAGTTTGTGCCCCTTCCCTCTGCAGGCATCGACGACGGGGGTGTGGGTGATTCACCTGCTGGCCAGGTCTGGCGACCTTTGGACTTGCAAATGCCCCCCTCTAACCCCGCTCTCTATGCCTCTACAGTTCCTGCAGCTTACTCAACAAGCTGTTTTCCTCTCTCTGCAGCACCAGCCCCAGCTCCGCCCCCGTGAAAGGGAGGAACCTGGCTGTTTCAACACCCTCTACCTGCGGCCTCGTCTGTCCCTCCGCCCGCAGACAGCTCGGGGCGCTGCAGTCTCCGTGTGCAGGAGTTCGTGACCCCCCTTCCCTTCTGTATTTGCCATTTGAGAGTACCGTGCCACGCCCCATGTTCGGAGGCTCTTGCCAAAGCCTGCGAAATACGTTTTATTTCGTATTCTATGTTAGAAGAATTCGAGGCTTCAGAGGTAAGTGACTTGCTCACGGTCACGCAGTCACTCATTAGCAGAGCCAGGATTTATAGTTCCCGTTTGTTAGGACGAAAAGCCAGAGAACGCTCGATTCAGTTCTCCGGGACCTGCAAGGTGGGATGCAGGCGGCATCTGAGGTCCTTGTCGCACCGCGTTGTCCCTCCCGGCGTTACTCGGTCGGCGCTCCTGGCGGGGAGGCAGAGTCCGGGCATCACCCGGTGCTCCCGGCCGAATCTGGGCACCCTTTTCCGCGGGGTCCGCTCCCTAGCGACCTCCGGAGGGCTAGGCTGGTTTGGGGAGCCTTGCAGCCCGGGACCCACCCTTCCTGGCTCTATTTGCATAACGGAGACTGCTGGCTTCCTCCCCGCCCCTCCGCCGCGCTCTTCTTCCCTCCTTCCCCCTTCCCCACCCCGCATCCCCGGGTCCCTCTCCTCTCCAGCGGACCCCTCCTCCGGACTCCCGCGTGGGGCCCCCAGCCCCCGGGCTCTCCAGCGCCCGCCGAGCGCGGAGTCGAGCTGCACCTGGGGGAGGGGAGTCCTGGGCGGGCCCGGCCGGGGAAGACGCCTGGGGCACTGCCCGGCGCTAACAAAGGAAGCCGGCTGCTGGCCGGCGTGGGCGCCCAGCGGGCTGCAGCGTGGAGCCTCCGGAGGAGCCGCAGCCTCCATGGCCGAGAGCGCTGCGCGTGAGTAGGGGTGCGGTGGGCAGCGGCGCGGCGGGCCCCCAGGGAGGAGGGATGCGAGGGGAGCCGAAACCGAGCGGAGCTGCGGGGCCCGCGGCGCGTCTAGGGCGCAGGGAAGCGGCCCCCTGAGCCGCCTTAGCCAGCCCGCCGCGGTGGCCGGGCCGCCTTCTGGCTGGGGCTGTCTGTGTGGTTGTCCCGGCCGAGGGGCTGCTCCGCTTTCTCCCGGGCTCCGCCAGCCTGAGGACCCACAACAAACCCACGTGCGCGCGGCCCTCGGGAGCCCTGCTTTCACCACCGCACCAACAGGACTGCGGGGCGGGGGGCACGCCTTGCAGAGCCCGGGGTCTCTCAGATCCCGCCTGCTGCGTTTACAGACCGGGAAACTGAGGCCCGCGGCGTTGAGTGGGGCAGACACCATAACAAATGCACGTGTGCCCTGCCCTGGAATCTGGGCTCACCTAACGCTCTTAGCAGCCACCCTGCGGTGTCGGACCATTGTCTCAGCCGCTGGGCAGGGAGAGGCGCCGGAGGCGCCACTTGCAGGAGGAGGGCGAGAGAGCTGTTTAAGGTACCACTTGGGCATCGGGCCAAACTGCCAGATTCAAAAAGGAAAAAGCAAAACAAGACAGCAGCTACAAAGGGGTTACCCCAGGCCGAGAGTCTCTCCCTGGCCGTGGCCCACTCCTTGGGGTGAAGCTGGATACCACCCTCCTCCACCTCACGTCTCTGAGACGCCGGTCCAAAATAAAAAAAGAAAGGACTGGGTCCTGCGCCCGGTTTTCCCCGCGGCCCGGGCGACTGCCAAGCCTGTAGAAAGAACAGTTCAATTTAAAGATCGCCGGGCGCGGTCTTGGGTTTCGCCTGCGCCTTGCCTTGTGGGTCTGGGTGCCTATTCCACTCTTTTTGCTTGCTGTGTGTTCCCACAAGCGAGACCAGCCGAGGCCTCTTGTTCTAGGTGGCACTGGCGACCGTACCATTTTCAGTTTTACCAGAGTTTATCTGAATGAAACGACGAGGTGGAGAAAGAGGGGCCTCTTTGTTTTGCTTTTTCCTTGCTTAAATATTCTCAGCTCTGCGTGGCAGAGGTTGGTTAAAGAGACCTGGTCAGGCAGCTTTGAGATGGCTTGGAGGATTGAGATGGCTTGGAGGATGAACTGGCTTCTTAGGTGATGGGTTGGTGCAGCCCCAAGCCCATTAGGTTGTGTGAGCGCGCGGTGTGCGCAGGAATGAGGCACCCCGGCTGCGTGTGAGCTTGCTGAGCAGTCAGGCTGCTGCTTCACCTTGGCTGGTGTGGCTGGAGATGAATTGTCCCTCAGAACTGGAGCGCCTCCAGCCCTATACGACTGCTATTGGAAGGGTCTAGAGAGCGTCTGGTGCACCCTTTCGTTTTACAGGTGGGAAACAGCAGAGTTCAGCTGCTTGCCCAAGTTTAAACCGGGGGAGATCAGCAGCAGAGAGGGTTTGAGCGTGGGTCTCCCAGCTCCCACAATGCACTACCCCGCCCTGCAACTAAAGGCAAAGCCGGGATTCCGTGGTTGGCCTAAAAGGCAGTGTGGCCTTAGGCAGAATAGAATTAAACAAAGAAAGTAATTCAGACTGAAAGCTGCACCCTGCTCTTCTCCCTTTTGAGAATTCTTTTACAGCTGAGAAAAGATAGGTTTAGTAATTCCTTACTCTTTATCCTTTCGTAAGCTTATTTTTCTCTCCAGACCGGCCCCTTCCCCTCAAATTGGAATAGGGCCAGCTATGGAGACTTAGATGTTTTGCCTCTCATCCGCGAGCCAGGAGGACTTTGTTTGGGAATAAGCCTGGGCTGTGAAAGTGTCTCTTAGTGGGCTACTCCTGAACCACTCGGGCAGAACAAAGCATTGTTTTCATTGATTTTATTTAATTTATTTTTTGTATGAGACTCCCACGGAAGTAGCTGCTTATTTTTGTGTTTGGCAGAGAAGTTGGAAAAGCAAAAAACATTGCAAGTCCAGGTTTCTCCAAAGCTAACTGCTGTCTTGCCTTGTCCCTGGTACCTCCTAGCTACACTTGTTTCTTTCTGTAGGCTTCCAGAGTGTTTCATTTTTGTAGTAATTCCTCTTGGAAATCGAGTATAGCTTTCTCATCAGGATGCCTATCCAGTAAGGAACTTCACAAATCACCTGGCCGGGCGGATTTATTTTCCAGATGGGAAAGCGGGCCCAGAGAGGAGACATGTCTTGCCCAAGGACACACAGCAAGTTGTCTACTTTTAGTGCCTCGTTTTTGCTGAAAAGGAAAACTGTTGCATCAAATGGATTGTTGTTGGTACCCCGGTACCCCAGAGTAAAGTGAAAGTTATGATGGTTGTTACAGCAATACCTTTTAAGTCATAGAATGAATTCCTTAAAGATTTAAATAGGTTTTGATTATTCAAAGAGGCCTGGTGTTGCAGTGATTAAGAGCTCGGTGCTAACCAAAAAGTGGGTGGTTTGAATCCACCAGCTGCTCCTTGGAAACCCTATGGGGCAGTTCTGCTCTGTCCTATAGGGTCACTGTGAGCCGGAATCCACTGAAAGACAATGGGTGTGTTTGTGTGTGTGTGATTATTAAACAAAACCAGGGATCCCAATGGATGAAATGTTGAGGCGTTATCTATAGTATCACTCAGGATCAGTTACTCTTTAGTGTTTACTAAACGGCTCACTTCACCCTTGCCAGGGCTAGCCCAGATAGTCTCTCTTGTGTTTCCCCAGTTAAGGGAGCTGTTTTGAGTATTATAAACCTGCCAAACCAAAACCAAGCCCGTTGCCATCAGGGTGATTCTGACTCATAGCAACCACAGGTACAGCAGAATGAAACACTGCCCGGTCCTGCGCCATCCTCATGATCAATGTCGTACTTGAGTCCATTGTTGCAGCCACTGTGTCAATCCATCTCGTTGAGGGTCTTTCTCTTTTTTGCTGACCCTCTACTTTACTGAGTGTGATGTCCTTCTCCAGGGACTGAGCCCTCCTGATAACATGTCTGCGATGGTTAAGGTTGCGTGTTGGCTTGGCTGGGCCATGAGTCTCAGCGGTCTGGCAGTCCTATGATGTTGTGATTATTTCCGTGATGAGATTTGATATAATGTGATCACACCTCATGATGGGATCTACTGTTGAAAGGGAGCCCATCAGTTGAATCAGTTGAAAGGGAGTGTCCTGGAGGTGTGGCCTGCATCAAATGTAAGTGCACATTCTGGCAAGGCTCCTTGGTGTTTGCCCACTCTGGATCCTGCAGCTGACTTCCTGTTCGTCTGACCTCTGGTTCTTGGGACTTGAGGTAGCAGCCTAGCCGTGGTCTTGCCTGCCGATCTTGTGATTCATTGATCTTTGCAGCCTGTGAGCAAGAGCCGTGCTCTCTGGCCTGCCAATCTTGGGTTCCCCAGCCCCTGTGGCTGCGTAAATCAGGAGAAGCCTCTATCCTGACCCAAGGACTTGGAACGTTCCAGCTTCTACAACCGCGTGAGCCATTTCCTTGATATAAATCTCTCCTTATATATATCTATACGCTTTACTGGTTTTTCTTCTCTAGAGAACCCAGACAATGTCCAAAGTATATGAGATGAAGTCTCACCATCCTGGCTTCCAAGGAGCATTCTGGCTGTACTTCTTCCAAGACAGATTTGTTCATTCTTTTTGGCAGTCCATGGTGTATTCAGTATTCTTCACCAACACCATAATTCAAAGGTGTCAATTCTTCTTCTGTCTTCCTTATTCATTGTCCAGCTTTCACATGCATATGAGGCAATTGAAAACACCATGGCGTGGGTCAGGACCTTAGTCCTCAAGGTGACATCTTTGCTCTTTAACCCTTTAGAGAGGTCTTTTGCAGCAGATTTGCCCAACGCATTGTCTTTTGATCTCTTGACTGCTGCTTCCTTGGGTGTTGCTTGCGGATCCAAGTAAAATGAAATCCTTGACAACGTCAATCTTTTCTCCGCTTATCATGATAGTCACTCTTTAGTGTTTACTAAATGGCTCGCTTCACCCTTGCCCAGGGCTAGCCCAGAGGCGCCTCCTCTTTCTCTCCTGTTTCTCTAGTTAAGGAGTTGCTGTGAGTGATATCAACCTACAGGCAGTGAGAAGTCAGGAGAGGGAGACTCTGCTTAGCTTTCAGGCTGTTGCCCTCTTGGCCCCCAGCTTCCTTCGTTGTACAGTGAGAGTCCCACTTGCCCGGTGGTCTCTGTGGAGGCTTTTCCAAGGCAGCCTAGTACCGTGGGAGGCGCTTAGGCCTTAGAGTCAGAGGAGGGGGTTGGGATCTTCCCTTCTCTGTCCTGTGTTACCTCGTCTCCCTCCACATTGTATAAAAAGTGAGGGGAAGAACATGGACGTAGCTCCTGGAGTTGTTGTGGCATTAAGTCACAAGACACGTGTTTATGTCTGTCTAGGCCTCTTGTCAGGCTTGGGTGCTCACCAGCCTTTTAAGTGGTGGACAATGATTGGGGGTGGGGGTGGCTCTCTGCTGTGGAGAGAATAACCTAGTAGCGTAAGCCCTGTGTCCCCGGGTGGCACAGATGGTTTCTGCTCAACTACTCACCTGAAGGTTGGTGGTTCGAACTCACCCAATTGTACCAGGGAAGAAAGGCCTGATGATCTCTTTCGGTAAAAGATGACAGCCAAGAAAACCCTATGGGAGCAGTTCTACTCTGTAACACACGGGGCCTCCATGAGTCAGAATCAACTGGATAACAATGGGTTTGGTTTTTCTTTTTTAATAGGCCCTGTGCTCAGATTAGGAGACCTGACTTAGTCACAAAGAGGCATGAGTGCCAGGCAAACTGTAAACGGAACATTTGGGTAGCTGTGAAGTATGTGTGTTTCTAAGGTAAATAGACCTAGTAAAAAACAAATAAAAAAAGTCAGAACTTTCACATCTAAGGAAGTGCAATCTAAAGTCATTCCATTGGTTCATCTCAAATTTACTGACACGTAGGCTGGGTGGAGCGGGGGTCCTGTGCTGGACCTGGGGTTACAAAAACAAGAAGACCTGTT